ATATTTTGCATTATTAGAAATGTGTTGTGTCAAAGAAGTCGGTCCAGGTATGTTATTGTCCCTTTTAACGGTAAAACAGGAAGTTATACTGTAATCATGGTACATTACAATGGAAGTGATATTGTAATTGTGGTATATCACACAGGAAATGATACTGTTAGTGTGGTATATCACACAGAAAGTGATACTGTAAGTATGGTATACCACACAGGAAGTTATACTGTAAGTGTGGTATATCACACATGAAGTGATACTGTAAGTGTGGTATATCACACAGGAACTAATACTGTAAGTGTGGTATATCACACATGAAGTTATACTGTAAGTGTGGTATCCCACACAGGAAGTAATACTGTAAGTGTGGGATATCACACAGGAAGTGATACTGTACGTGTGGTATATCACACAGGAAGCAAAACAGTAAGTGTGGTATATCACACAGGAAGTTATACTGTAAGTGTGGTATCCCACACAGGAAGTGATACTGTAAGTATGGTATCTCACAATGGAAGTGATATTGTAATTGTGGTATATCGCACAGGAAATGATACTGTTAGTGTGGTATATCACACAGAAAGTGAAACTGTAAGTATGGTATACCACACAGGAAGTAATACTGTAAGTGTGGTATATCACACAGGATGTGATACTGTAAGTGTGGTATATCACACATGAAGTGATACTGTAAGTGTTGTTTATCACACAGGAAGTTATACTGTAAGTGTGGTATATCACACATGAAGTGATCATGTAAGTGTGGTATATCACACATGAAGTGATACTGTAAGTGTTGTATATCACACAGGAAGTTATACTGTAAGTGTGGTATACCACACAGCAAGTAATACTGTAAGTGTGGTATATAACACATGAAGTTCTACTGTAAGGGTGGTATACCACACAGGAAGTAATACTGAAAGTGTGGTATATCACACAGGAAGTAATACCGTAATGGTGGTATACCACACAGGAAGTGATACTCTCGAAGTGTGGTATATCACACAGGAAGTTATACTGTAAGTGTGGTATATCACACATGAAGTGATAATGTAAGTGTGGTATATCACACATGAAGTGATCATGTAAGTGTGGTATATCACACATGAATTTATACTGTAAGTGTGGTATACCACACAGGAAGTAATGCTGTAAGTGTGGTATATCACACAGGAAGTTATACTGTAAGTGTGGTATAGCACACAGGAAGTAATACTGTAAGTGCGGTATATCACACAGGAAGTAATACCGTAATGGTGGTATACCACACAGGAAGTGATACTCTCTAAGGGTGGTATATCACACAGGAAGTGATACTGTTAGTGTGGTATACCACACAGGAAGTGATACTCTCGAAGTGTGGTATATCACACAGGAAGTTATACTGTAAGTATGGAATACCACACAGGAAGTTATACTGTAAGTATGGTATACCACACAGGAAGTTATACTGTAAGTGTGGTATCCCACACAGGAAGTAATACTGTAAGTGTGGTATAACACACAGGAAGTAATACTGTAAGTGTGGTATATCACACAGGATGTGAGACTGTTGGATGGATTAATTGCTACCTTTTTGTGGTTTGGGGGAGTGCACATTTTCAATGAATCTGATAGATATACTTGATAGTTATAGCCACTCCAGATTGGCCGTTGAGGAGGGACTAGATAAAGAGCAATCCACCCTTTTTATACCAGGGATTATCTTATGTTGCATGGCAGCACATGACAAGTTTATAAAGGTACATTTGGGTCAATATGTATAACATACTTGTTGTGACAGCTAGGATTGTAATTTCCCCTATCCTATCTTTACTTGTATTTCTATTCTTGACCTTCTCTTTAATGCTTCCCTTGGCTCCACCACACTTTCAGCAAAACATTTGCCAATTTTAGAAAGATGATGTGTTTTGTCCCCAGGTCAGAGTTTAGGGTAACCGCAGTTGTAGTAGGACCAGGAGTGGTGATAAAGATAATGCCGTCACTGGGGCTCGAACCCGCAACCCTTGGCTCTCCAGTCCGATGCTCTACTGCTGAGCTAAAGGGAAATTTCCTACAGCTGACACTTATAAGGCAACCTAATCAATGAACATCTTTTACACAACGACTGGTTAATCTGTTATCAGTAATGCTACTGGGTAGAGCACTATGCTGGGTGCCTTCAGGTTGGTATTTGAGTGAGATAGCACTCTAAAGTCGACATCAGATCCACTCTATCACAAGGAAGCAACTACACCAACATAACCACCTCCAGCACAAACGCCGACATAACACACACGGCTGCACTCCCTTAAATAATCTTAGATGTTTAATAGGGCGTTAAACCCTATAAACCGAACCAAGGACAGAATCACTTCAGGCACTGATCACATCTACTTTATGAGTAGCTGATCATGATAACAATAACAAATAATTGATTTCAAAGATTTTCATTTTAAATCAACTCTATTTTTGGTAACAGGAAGATCCGTGTGCTAATGTTTTAAATGTAATAACATTATTAGTGGCCTACTATTGAAACCACTAGGACAACTAGGTTTAAAGAATTGATCATATCTGTTTGTGGACCACTGTTAGGCTCGAGGTTATGGCAAGTGATCAAAAGTCAAATCATTAAAATTGAATTGAAGAACCCCATAAATAGATGTGTCATGATTTAAGGAAAGTGTGGTAAACAACTTCATACCCTGGAGTTCAAGGTCATGGTGATTGGGTCATTGGTGAGACTTTATAATGGTTTCCCTGCCGATTACTTCAGCATGAACAAAAGGGTATTTTAATGAAACTCCATAGATGCTGTATCCATTTTGATTTTGTAAACCAAACTGGTGCTTGAACTCAAACTGCCTCACATCAAGATTTTCATTTTTGGAAACAGATATATGTTGACAAAACTCAAAACAGTTTTCAAATGGAAAGAAAAATGTTGAATGTACTCCATAGAGCATTCATGTGGGATGAAAAATTAAAGCGATTATTTAATGGGTTTTAAATTTCACTCGTTATGTGTGACCATAGCTAGGTGTTGGAGAGTATTCATAACGAAGCACAATTTGAAAGGTAGACAGTTTAATAGGTGTATAAACATATATCATACCATCATCTGTTGTTTGTGTCATATACCTGTCTACACATCAGACATTCTCTGTCAGTCACTGCACATATATTATATACCAGGGGGGGGGGGGGGGGGGGGGGGGAGGAGAGTAAATGTGTTTTGAGGGAAGTTACCTGTAACTGTTGTCAGCTCTTTGAAATTGGTACATCTTGTTCAGTCTGGGATATAATCAGAATTTTCCTAAAGATTACAAAATGAGTTTTAAAAACAGTTTGAACACAAGATTTATGTCTAAAAACAACAAGGTCATGTTTGAGGTAGAAGACGAAACTTCCATCTGATGTCATTTGCATAAAACAAGATCAGAAATCTGAAGGCAACAATATTATCCATACAAAGATAAAAAAAATGGCTGTCTGAAGATGGTGTTCTTATTGAACACTTCAAAATGTCTGAAAACAATGGCTAAAGGCGTCAATATTTCTGCGGGGAACAACATTTGTGTCTGAAGGTATTAATATAATAAAATGATTAGTTCAGAAGATGACAACGTTTCTGCTCAAACACAAGACAACATTTACTTGCTGATGACAAAAGGCAATGAAATTGACAACAAAATATTGCTATCTGCAGACATCAAATCATCAAAAAGTTTGAATATAATACAAAATGTTATAATTAAAAATCTCAACACGTACATGAATTAAACCTAGCTACTCTGCTCTATGTGATATTCAAGGATTTATTTGGATTACAATAAACTAGCAAAATTGAAATGGCTACTTCATAATAAAGATATTGAAACATGTCTTTAATTATGTAATTCCTTGACACACAGGCATGGCCTTGCAATCGATTTCTTAAATTTATGTTTGATATACAATCTATAGGAGACAATCATCTGCCTGAAAGTGTCTGTTTGCTGGGTAAACTTGAAATGGCTATAGATACTATGATGATTTATTGGGGATATTCTATGTAAAACCGTCCTTGGGAGGAAGTGTGTCTTGTCTGACAACACACATTTTCGTGTATCTAGGGTTTAAGTACGTTAATTTATAGGATCATACGGGAGATTTAAATGTATCGGGAACATCACGGGGGGATTTTCAAAAGTTCCTTTGTGTTTACACTTAAGATAGGCGTGTTTCACTAAAAGCTAACTTTGTGTTTGAGTTTAGAAGTTTGATAAACTACAACGAAGCGGTATAACGCTGTGTTAAGATTCTATATCGGGTTAAAGGATTTAAAAGCAAGGTAATCTCTACACAAAGTAAGTCATGTTTTAGAATTGATCATCGGTCCAGCACTGCCTCTCCATTATCGTGAGGTTGGAACTGAAGATTTCTTACATTGCAATCCTCATGACATTTTTATTTTAATGTAATTTTCATGAGTAGATTGTGTACAATATTTACCTGTTCTGATATAGAGATTTTTTGGGGTATTTTTAGGTTCTGTTGAAGGCCTTTTTACCAATTTTATCTACAGGAATATTTCCGAATGGTCAACAATTTACTGCAGTTAAAAGAAAATCACTTGTTAAAAAGTGTGTTCTTGTATTACGTATAAGATATCTTTCTTTTACTTAGAATTTTTGATAAAGACATCTTAAAAACATTATACATTTGTAGTGCTGTTATTGTGTTCGATGCAAATGCTGGTAAATGTACATGTAAATTCCTTAAGAGCTATTTTACCAATAAAAAAGGTACGAAAATGTATGTGGAAATAGACAAAAAAAATAACTGTGATTGAAATATGATATTTTGACAGATGTTTACATGTATATATTTATTTGAATTCACATTTGTGTTTTGCATTGGTGCAGATCTCAAAAATTTATTACAGTTATATTATGGGATGGTTTTAGTAAAGTAATAATACATTTGTATCTAAAAACAGCAAAATCTGACTGTTTATGAATTGTTATCATCCATTTCAGATTGAAAGATGGGCCGACTGAAACCTTTGGGATGGACATTGGTCAAGATGGAGCCTAAGTGACCAGTGTTTTAAGAAATATTGTGTCACTATGGTTCAGCTTGGGAGCCTCCTTGATGACGAGGAGGGTGTCACACCTGTGGCACCTCCTCAGAAATATTCCCTCAGAAAGTCAATAAAACCATTCGTCTGCTCAACACCGGATGACTTCACGGAAGAGCGTGAATTTCTAAATCAGAAAATTTTTCCACAAATAAATGAGTTATACATGATGCGTGGATGCCGATTTTCTCCAGTGGATATTCCGTGGGGAATGCAGGATGACCAAATAGCCACTGGTCATCTTTTGAGACTAAATCTGGAATATATTTGTAAGTGTTTGCCCTACTTTCTGTGCCTTTTGGGTGAGCGCTACGGGCCCTACAGGCCTGTTGACTCACCCTCACTGCCAAAAAAAGTCACCCAACTTCCTGAATACGCAACTTCTCTCGACCGCAACTATCTGGTGGCCGCCTCGGCTGGCTATCAATGGGTGCTTCAGGAACACCACCAAAACAACAGTCTCACAGAGCTTGAAATCATCCATGCCACTTTCCTCAACGATTGCGACTATGCTCATTTTTATTTTCGTCAGCCGGAGCATCTGGACAGAAAATTCGGACATTTGTCAGACGATGCTCGACGAAAACTCAGCAAACCTTACCTCCCTGTCAATGAGTATGACGACCTTAATATCAGGGATTTGAAACAGAGAATCGTTAACAAAGGTCTTGCCGTGAAATACTTTAAAAGCCTGGAAGAGTTAGGTGTCCATGTTATGAAGGATTGGACCAAGGTTGTAGATCTAGTTTTCCCACCGCTAGAATACTCCATAGCAACGCTTGGTAAGTCAGCTTCAAGGTTTGTTCAGAGTGCACTTATGTTTTCAGTTTATTCATTGATAGACCAATTTATTATCTAGGCCAATCCTTAAATAAGGAAATATTGTAATTTCTTCTCACATGTAACTGAAACCTGACTTTATGAACATCCTGTAAAATTTGCCATGATTGTATAGCCCTGTACAGTGAGACCTAACTTTACTAACACCTGACTTTACTGACACCTGGCTATAAGGACATCCTGTAACATTTGCCCTTATTGTATAGCCCTGTACAACGAGACCTGACTTAACTGACACCTGACTTTACTGATACCTGACTTTACTGACACCTGACTTGACACTTGACTTTACTGACATCCTGTATAATTTGCCATGATTGTATTTGCCATGATTGTATAGCCCTGTACAGTGAAACCTGACTTTGCTGACACCTAACTTTACTGACATCCTGTAATATTTGCCATGATTGTATAGCCCTGTACAGTGAAACCTGACTTTACTGACACCTAACTTTACTGACATCCTGTAATATTTGCCATGATTGTATAGCCCTGTACAGTGAAACCTGACTTTACTGACACCTGGCTTCACCAACACCTGACTGAAACTTGTGTATACTGTAGGAAGTTTCTAAATTTAAGTGTACAACATCACTACCCACAGTTTTGTATAGCTCGTTTCCAGTAGAAACCAAGAAGGAAGTTACAAACACAAATGTAACAATGTGATCAGTTTATAACTGTTTTACAACAGGACTGTTAACAAGTTTTGAGACAATTTTATGCAGCACACGTAGCAGACAATGTTTTCTGTGACTTTATCAGTTGGACTTCATGCTAACATTACATGGTTACACGTGATTCTCAAGTGAAAAAAGTAACTTTGAAGAAATAAGTGATAGTACAAAGTTCAGGTATGAGTTTGTATATCAAGCAAAAGGTCAAGGTCACAAGATTATTTATAAAAATGTCACTAATTTTGCATAGGTTGGGGTATTCCTGTCTTACAGACATTGATGATTTCAAAAAACACTATTCTCTTGGAAGCTACGTCTATTTGTCTGTCATTAATATTTTTATTACTTTTTTTTTGCTAGACACAGAAGATTATCAGGAATGGGTAAACAATGCAATGTTCGCTGACAGTCGCCGTCAGGTGTTTGTCAACTCCGTAGAAATTAAGGCACTACATGAGGAAATGACAACATTTGCCAAGGCTGCACTTGACGACCCTCCAGAGGAAGTCCAGGAACTAATGGACCGTTTCAAGTCCTATTCCATTGTTTCAAAGCTAAAAAAGAAGTAAGTTGCTATGACAATAAATATTAAGTCTAAACATAACAACTCAACAAGAATTTGATTTTTTTCCTCCGAACTGGACAGTTTTCATACCATTATTTTAAGACGAATCGTGTGTGGATATTTTGAAATTCTTCTATCAGGTAGACACAATTTGGGGTTATAACTGTAAGTCGAAATTGTACACCTTTGAGTAGAATTTCCATAGCCCCCTTACCTGTAGGTATGACAGACTCTATTTGTCTTTGTTCTTAATCAAATTCCATTGCAAATATTTATACAAGTTAAATATATATATATGTATATTGTTCAACTTGTATATTCAGCCTTTTTTGAACACTGGAGGATTTGTTAAACTTCGGAAAGATATTTAAAGTTTGAAATTTAACAATACAATCGGTTTTTTAAAAGAACTATTGACACAGAGATGAAATAAAACCAAAATTGGAATTTAACACGACTAATATTGTATTTAAGAGGAATAACTATTGACTTAAGGAAAGGAATGCAACCAAAATTGCAATACCTTACTGATTGTTTTAAAACCGAATAACTGTTGATTTGGAAAAAGAATAAAACGCTTCTTGTGTTATGTGTATCAGGGCATTGTATAGAAAATTGTATAATTGTTACTGGTATATAAATGTACACGATATCGAACGGCAGATTCACGTAAACAGCAATAGTTCTACCCCCCTGACAGATATGAGCTATAATAATAATAATATACAGCATTTATATAGCGCCCTATATAATTTGTAAAATTACTCTAAGGCGCTTTACAACATATGGATAATAGTAATGGTTATAATTGTGAAAACAAACAACAAAGGCTTGCAATCACTTTCATACATTTAACAAGCAATGTGCACATAATTGAACAAGTAAAAGGGTGGTATTTACATGACGTCTTTGCAAAGATTCTAAAATGCAGACGTGAAGAGGTGAGTTTTAATGTCCCTCTTGAACTTGGCCAGGGTATTCGACTTCCTAATAGCAGATAGTAAGCTATTCCACAACGTAGCCGAAACCCTCCCAAAGCATCTGTTTCCGTAGGTCACAGTACGAGATTTTTGGGACACACAACAAAGATTCTGACTCCGACCGCAGTGATCTTGACGGCTGGTACAGGGGAACAAGTTCCTGTAGGTACTGAGGAGCTGTTCCATTCAGTGCCTTGTATGTGTATACCAGAATTTTGTACTGTGACCTTTTTGTACTGCTATACACTCAGAATCACAATAAAAGTGGTTTTACAAGTTTTGCTCACATTTTGTCATTATTTTTCCAAAAAAACTCTGCAATCATGACCTAAATGTTATAATTAGTTGCAGTTCTTATTTTTACAATGTAGTAAACCGTATTTGACCTAAAAAAAACCACTATCCCATATAATCACCTCGATGCTTTCCCATCCCTTCACCATCATTAACCAACTTCTGGAATGGTTTTGTAAAAAAAAAAAAAAAGTAAAAATCAAATTACTGACTTTCTTGAAAAAAGTTTTTATTCAGACTATATTTATAAATTATTTGAATGTTCTGCAATCATTAGAAGTTTTCCAAGTTTTTAAGGGACCAGGGCATATAACATGTCTAAATCGGGTGTCATTGTGCTGATTTTCCCAAAGCATAAAACCTTGTATCTTTAATAGTCCCAAAGAACCAGAAAAACATGATTCAGTACTACATTAACATATAGATTAATGCCAACAAAAAAAAGGAGGATTAGCTTACCACAAATATTAATTTGACTGCAAATAAACCCCCATCCCTAGTGGGGGAAAAAACAGAATTACAAAACTTTAAATTTTGGAGGGGGCTTAATTGCAAACATCCCCTCAGTTCATTAACATTCAGGCTGACGTCTGCCATCTTGGATATTCCCCTGCTTTGATCTTTGACCACAATTCATGTACTAATAATTGTTTATTTTGTAAAAAATAATGACTGTAAGATTAACAGCCTAAAAGTTGATCAGTTGATGGTTTGGTAGGTCGCCTAACACTTGTTTTGTCTGTGTTGTTACAGGAAGCCCCAGGCAGTGCAGTACCAGTCTATGATGTTGATACACGGTGACCGAGGCAGTGGTAAGAGTACGGTCGTGGCTAACTGGTTACCAGGGTTCATGGCAAGTCACCCCGATCTCAAGGTCATCAGCCATTTTGTGGGTAGCAGCCATCGTAGTACCAACATCTCTGTGTTCCTGAAGCAGTGTATCAAGGAACTACGGGAGGAATACCTCAGACCAGGTACGGAGGCGGTTTGACACTATAACTCATTCACCCTGAAGACACATTTGAACTCTTCCAATTCAAAGGCTGGAATAGTTCATTATGAAATTTCAGGGGTTAATGAGTTAAACACCCTCTTTGATTGACAAGAAAGGAGATTCTATACAGTGCCATTTCTTCTCTGTTAAAAAACATGTAATCAAATTGTTATATAGTCTGACAAGCAGACAGAATAATTATGAGCAAAATATTTCAAAACGTGTGAAGATCTTAGTATATTTTAAGTAGTAAGTCTCATATACAAGTGTTGATATTGATTTTTTTTTTAAATTTGTCTATGTCTTTAGAGCTCAAATTTGGTCCTATTCCAATGAAAAATTAACATTTTTCCTTAAATCTACATTAGTTATCTAAATTCCTATATTAAAAGGAAAAAAAAAAATGTTTCCAAAAGAACACCATTTCATATCCATAATTTCTTTATAGAATCAGGTGTATTTTTGGGTTTGCATCAAGTATTTAATAAAGTATAACATATTGTATTGTTTACAGACTCGGAGGTGGATCAGCCTCGAATCACTGAAGAAGACCAGCCCTGGAGTTTTGAGGAGGTGTCCCAGGCGTTTGTGTCTGCACTTTCTCTCGGCCCCTGTGTTATTGTCCTTGATGGCATTGATGAACTCGGTCTCACCCTCGGCCAGACCAACAGACAGGTAGAGGATCTCTTTTTCTGTCCACATTTAGCAGTAAAATGTCTGCTATTTTATTTAACTTGTCAGGTTAAAAGACGATTTTGGTGTTGCAGCATTTAGTGATGACCTAT